TTTGAGATGAACCACATTTTGAAAAACATTACCCTGTCGATGAACATTTGAGTTGTGTCTAGTTTTTAATTGTTATAAATAAAATGGTTGTCTTTCTAATAGGATATAGTGGCTTTAATTCACATTTTCCTAATGAACAGTGATGTTGAGCATCTTTTCATGTGCTTATTTGCCATCTATACATCTTCTGTGGGGAAAAGCCTATTCAAATCTTTTGTCTTATAAAAGAAATTGGGTTGTTTCTTCTCTCACTGTTGAATTTCAAAAGTAAATTACTTAATTATTTATTCTGAATACAAGTTCCTTATCAGGTATATTGCTTTGCAAATATTTTCATCCCGTCTATGGCTTGTCCGTACATTCTCTTAGTAGTCTTTCAAAGAGCAGAAATTTTTCATTTTGATGAAGTCCAGTTTATTAATTTGTTATTTTGTATGTTATGCCTTTGGTTTTGTGTCTCTGAGAAATCCTTGCTGAACTTAAGATCACAATGGTTTCCTCCTTTGATTTTTTTCTAAAAGTTTTCTAGATTTAGGTTTTACATTTAGGTCTATGATCCACTTTGAGTTAATTTTTTTCAGATGCCTTTAAAATCCAGCATTTTTTTTGCATTCTTTTTTTTAGTTGCAATTTCTGGTATACAGCATAATGTTTCAGTCATACGAGTTAATTTTTATATATAGTGCTCTCAGGGCTCCAAGTTCAGTTTTTATGTATCTGGATATTCAGTTGTTCAAACTGTATTTTTAAAAAAGACTCTCTCTACTAACTTGCTTTTACATAGATATTGAAAATCAGGTAGCATTAGTTCTCCAATTTTTTCTTCGTTTTTGGAGTTAGTTTGCCTCTTCTTGCATTTCCATCTGTGTTTTACAATTTGTCAATTTCTACACATATACGCACAAATCCTCCTGGTTTGAGATTGTTCTGAATCTATAGGTCAGTTTGGGAAAAATTGACATCTTCATGATACTGAGTTTTCTGGCTCAGGAGCATGATATATATGCCCATTTATTTAGATCTTCTTCAGATTTCCAAATGTTTCATTTTTTATGCTACTTTGAATGGTATTATTTTTATTTCAATTTCTGATTGCTCATATATAGAAATACAATCGATTTTGTATATTGATCTCATATCCGGCAATCTAACTAAACTCCCATATTGGTGCTAGTAGATGTTTTATAGATTCCATTGGATTTTCTACATAGATGATTAGGTCTTCTGTGAATAAAGGCAATTTTACTTCTTCCTCTCTTCTTTCCCTTTCTTCCGGGACCCCAAAAACATGTATGTTTGACTGCTTGATACTGTCTCACAGGTTATTAAAGCTCTGCTAACTTTTTTTATAATTTTTTTCTTTCTCTGCTCTATTCAGATCATGTCAGTTGACCTGTTTTCAAGCAGACTGATTCTTCTGATGTCTCCATGCTGCTCTCAATTTCATCCAGTGACTTTTTGATTTCAGCTGTCATATTTTGAAGTTTAGCATCTTTCTTTGGTTCTGTTTTACAGTGTCAGATCCCTCCTGAAATAACCCTGACTCTTCCGCCATTGTGTCCATCTTGTCCTGAAACTTACATACCATAGTCAAAGTTCTGTATGATAATCCCAGTCTCTAGGTCATCTTGGGGTCTGTTTCTATGGACTGATTTTTCTCTTGACTTTGACTCCCATTCTCTTCCTTTCTTGCATGTCTTGTAAGTTTTATTGTTTGTAAATTACTGTATCTTAAAAAAAAACAGTGAAAGTTGAAGTACATTTAAAGAATATCTGAGGGTTTTTTTCCTACCCCTACCCCAACAGGAAGAAAGAAACACCCTTTCCCCTGTTGGGTATCCAGAGTGAGGGGCTGATCAGTTGGATCCATTCAAGAGTTGAGCTGGTTTGGGACATGGTGGCGACTTTAATCCCTCTACCTCCCTCTTGTGTCTCTGCCTCTGTCTGTCTGTCTCTCTCTGCATCCCTGGCTGCTCCCTCTTCTCCATTCCCTTGTACACTCCTCTCAGCTAACCTATTTCCCCCCACCCATCTCCCTCGCCCCGGAAGCTCCTGGCAGAGGAGAAGGCGGCCGTCCTGCGGGCGGTGGAGGAACGTGAGCGGGTCGAGGCGGAGGGCCGGGAGCGCGAGGCTCGGGCCCTGTCCCTGACACGGGCCCTGGAGGAAGAGCAGGAAGCACGGGAGGAGCTGGAGCGGCAGAACCGGGCCCTGCGGGCAGAGCTGGAGGCACTGCTGAGCAGCAAGGATGATGTCGGCAAGAGCGTGAGCAGACCCTGCTTCCGGATTCGCGCGTGGACACGCACATGTGATGTCGGGGCCACATACACACACAGGCGCTCCCCACACAGGGTGTGAAGGGAACCAGCTCTCGAGTCCCATGTTCATGCCCAAGCACAGGACAGGAGGGGGCCGTCGACCAGACATATATGTTCATGCATACAGGGTGCAAGGAGAATCTTCTGCCAAACACGTGTTCATACCCACACAGACAGAAAGTAAGGAGGGCCGGTCACCAGCACGCGTGTTCTTGGGCATGTACCCAGAACACGAGGAGAATTGTCCATGGAACACAGGTGGTCCCCTGTTCCCTGAGAGCTGTTCACAAAACATACATGTTCACATGTGCATTCATAGAATGTGAGAGTCTTCCATGAAACACACCTGCTCGTGTGTACACACGGTGCATGAGAAATGCTCACCTTGGGTGTGCAAACATGTGAAGAGAATTTATCAGAACATACAGCTTGAGAACCACTCCCCAAACATACACATACCACATACACCCCCCCAACATGCACATACGTGCATATACACACACTGTACAGATACACACCACGTGCATACATACCACAAACACACACACACCACACTCAGTGTGAGGACACCCCACCTTGCCACCCCCTGACTCCACTGAACATACGCAGGCTCGCCTACCAGGCCTCTGTCTTCCCCCAACTCATCCTTCCCTCCCAAGCCTGTGAGGGGTCTCCCAGGCCTGTTCCCAGTCCTCACTTACCCAACCAGTATCCCAGCCTCCCAGCCTCATGAAAGGTCTAACACACCCTCCACTCCATCCTTCCTTCATTTGCCCAACAACTATAATTATGGAGCACCAGCCAGACAGGCCTGGGGACACAGGCTACCCTGAGTAATGGTGGGAGGCCCTGGTAGAATCCGTGTTTGATTGGGTCCCTGGGCAGAAACAGTCCCAACATCCTTTTTAACTGCCAAGCAGCATGCTCCCAGGTGTGGGATGGATGAGGGCTTTATTTTCTCTGCACACTCTGGCACTGATCTGATGGAGCTTTTAGCGAGGCATGGAAAGAGCCGCCATCCCCGTGACTCACCCTTGGCCTGCAGCCCTGGGGATAATGGAGCCAAAATACAACTCAGGCTCAAACTACTAAGTCCTTTGGGGAAATTGTTGAGATTTATAGTGACTTCAGTGGCCTTTGTTGGAAATTGGTTGGTGATGGGAAAAAGTTTGATCCTTTCAAGTAAGCATAGTTGATTGGCAGGTGCCAAAGCAGAAGGGAGACCATTTGGTCCTTTTGAAGAGCTAAAAGTAGACACCGTCACTGTAGCATTTCCATGAGGGTCATTAGGTTGGGCTGATACACAGATGTAGTCCTTGCCCTGCGAGCTCACAGTCCAGTAGGGGAGGTGGGTATTGCACAAAAAGACACATAAGTGCATGTTAAGTGACCACTGTGACCAGGGCTGAATCAGAGAGGGGCTCATTGCCAGGAGCATGGGTGATAGGGAGGCCCTGAAGGTCAAGGGATGCTTCTCCGAAGAGGTGACAGTTAAAGAGAGGCTGGGGTGGGGGTGGGGGTGGTCTTCAAGAATTAATAAGCTCAGGTCTTCTTTCACAGGATGTTTGAGGTTTTAATTTACACCTCCCTGAAAGGTCTGGAAACCTCCACTCTGAGAAAAAAATAGAAGTAGATAGTGGATTGATAATATCCTGGGGAGTTGGGCAGAAACCAACACCAATAACTCTGTTGTCTTCAACCCATTTCCACATGGGATTCCCAAAGATGAAGCCACAGTGAAGTGAGCTCACAATCCAAAATCACAAAACCTATGCAGACATAATCCACCATAAGCAAGAGTTAGCCAATCTAACAGACACTTGAATTGGACCCTCAAGAGCTTTGGATAATAAAATTATCATGCATATGTTTTTAATAAAATCTGTCTGAGGATGATTCAGAATGAGACACCTAGTAGATAGGTGCCCAGGAAGTGTTGAACCTATGAATGAATGAACAAAGCAGGATGGGCACATCCACTTGTTGCCTCCCCCTCATCAGGCAAAGCTCCCCTCACTCTAGCCTGGGATAGATCTTGGATCCTGACCTCCCCCAACCCTCACGCCTGCCAGTGACCCAGATGCCCAGTGCTCACCCTCCTTCCCAACCAGGTGCATGAGCTGGAGCGAGCCCGCCGGGTGGCAGAACAGGCAGCCAGCGACCTGCGAACGCAGGTGACCGAGCTAGAGGATGAGCTGACGGCCGCCGAGGATGCCAAGCTGCGCCTGGAAGTGACCGTGCAGGCTCTCAGGGCACAGCATGAGCGGGACCTGCAGGGCCGTGATGAGGCTGGTGAGGAGAGGCGGCGGCAGCTGGCCAAGCAGGTATGGGCATGCCCAGTGGGAGGCTGTGGGGCGCCCAGCCAGCTGGCAGTGCCCTGGTGCTTATAGGCACCTGCTACTCAGTGTTTCTACCCAAGTCCCTCCTGCTAACCAGCCATCCTCCTGTTCCTGAACACATTCATCCACCATAAGCCATGCACCCCCACACACATCCTGTTGACCTGCTGATGTACTCAGACATCTCCCATCCACCAAACCATCCATCCACCCATGTACCACCCCAACTACTGAGCCACCCAACCACCCCTGACACCACCTCCCCACCCACCAGCGCTTCTACACAGCCAACTTTGCCTCCACCTTCTCCTCCGTCCACCCAAATACCCCCTCCCAAGCAACCTCTCCCCAGCCCAACCACTCCTCTATGGACTCAACCCCAGCCCCTCCACACTCCAACCCACCGATGCACTCTTGATGAGTTCGTCTGCACCCTCTTCATCCACAACCTTCCTTGTTCATTTATTCCCTCACCCACTTCCTCATTCCCTCCATCACTCTCTCCCTCCACACCCTTCATTCACTCATTCCGCATTCAGTCGAGGAATGTCCTGTGGCCCACAGTGGGCACAGCTCTCCACTAGGTGATGAATGCTGAGCATGGGAGGGATGGGTCAGCTCTGTGTGTCGGAAAGACCCCTCTGGGGCCATGTGGGCAGTAGACTGGAGCCGGAGAGACAGAGCTGGGAGGCCCTGGAGGAGAGATGAATTGGGGATCTGAGGCTGGGGGTGTTTTCTTAATCTTTCCTGGCCCCACTGATCCAGCCATGGGCTCATCCAGGACTTTGTCCTGGGGGCACTGGGGAGCCATAGGAGGGTCATGAACAGGGGAGGGACAGTGCCAGCTCTGAGTGTAGAAGGACACTTCTGGAGACTTCTGGAATGCGCTGGAGGGGAGAGATGGGAGCCAAGAGAAGTCTGGGGCCAGGGGCAAGGATGAGGCCTGAGCTGGGGCTGTGGGGTCAGAGAGGATGAGTTGGATTTGCGGTGGAGAGAAGCAAGGGGCAGGAGGAATGGGGCTAGAGGCCTGGACAGGGGCTGGAAGATGGACATCTATGTCACGAGCCTCTAGAGGGAGGCTGGGTCTCTGGTCCCCTGAGCCTGCCCCTGCCGGCCTCGCCCCCAGCTGAGGGATGCCGAAGTAGAGCGAGATGAGGAACGCAAGCAGCGTGCGCTGGCTGTGGCCGCTCGCAAGAAGCTAGAGGCAGACCTGGAGGAGCTGAAGGCCCAGAGCGCGGCCGCCGGGCAGGGCAAGGAGGAGGCTGTGAAGCAGCTGCGCAAGATGCAGGTAAGGGGTGGGGCTTAAGCCCGTGGAGAGGGGCGGGCGCAGGACCAGTTTGGACCCCGCCCTCTCCATCCCAGGAGCTGCACCCAGATTAGCCAACAGTTTTATAAACATGCATGCCCCAAAGGCTCACTTGGATTTTTTTTTTTTTAATGGAGATACTGGGGAATGGAGGTACTGGGGACTGAACCCAGCACCTCGTGTATGCCAAGCATGCGCTCTACACCCCCACCCTTGGTTCTTTCATCTTTTTTATTGCTTTTATTTAAAAAGCTTAATTTTTAAGTCCAGTGTCCTCATTTTATTTCACTTTGGAATGGAAATACCTTAGGAGTCCCCATCCACAACCCCCTTATGAAAGTTATACATGATTGATTTAAAATTTGGGGCGGGGGGGATGGTGTATCAGTTGTAACAAATGTACCACTCACTTTGCTGCGGAATGTTGACAATGGAGGCGGCTGTGCTTATGTGAGGGCTTGGGGCTGTCTGGGAAATCTGTGTACCCTCTACCCAATATTGCTATGAACCTAGACCTGCTCTAAAATGTAAAGTCTAATTTTTAAAAAGTATAGACCTAGGCTGTCCAATGCAGAGAGTACCAGCCCCATTTGGCTGTTAGACATCTAAACTGTGGTGGGCCCAAAATCCAAGTTACATGCTACATTCTGAAGACTTCATACAAAAAAGAAGTAAAATATCTCAATAATTTTATATTGATTATAAGTGGAAATAACATTTTGGATATATAGCTGAAATAAAATATAGTATTTAAACTCTTTTACCTGTTTCTTTTAAACCTTTTTAATATGGTTACTAGAAAATGTAAAAGGCCATATGTCCTTGCAGTTTATTCCTATTTTTTCCTTGTCTTTTTTCCTTTTTTTTTTTTATTATTTAGTTAGTTAGGGTTTTTTTTTTTTTTGCTTTTTTTTTTTTGGTGGGTTTTAGGTTTCTGTCTTTTTTTTTTTTTCAATTTATTTCTAGTGGGCAGCGCTGGTGTAGAAAGATTCCTCCCAAAAAGTAAAAATTGCCAATCATGTCATCACTGAGAGAAAATCCCTACACTGGAAAGCTATTATTATCAAGCAAATAATAATAATTTTAATAACTGTGCTGTAACTGCCCCACGACTGCCAAGCCCGCTGCTGTCCTCACTGTGGTTATCAACAACTAGATACTCCATTATAAAGATAGACAGTGGGGATTTTTTAAACGGACCAGGCTGGCCCGCTCACTCGCTGCGTTCCTCCCAGGCCCAGATGAAGGAGCTGTGGCGAGAGGTGGAGGAGTCACGCAGCTCCAGGGAGGAGATCTTTGCCCAGAGCCGGGAGAGCGATAAGCGCCTCAAGGGGCTGGAGGCGGAAGTGCTGCGGCTGCAGGAGGTGAGGCCAGAATGGGCGGGGCCGTGGTGGGCGGGGCCTGGGAGATGCTGGGGACTCCTGGGAGGGGCAGGGTCAGCGTTGGGGTTGTGTAGGGGATGGACTCGAGCGGGGAGACTGGAGGCAGGGAGGTTGGGGAGAGAGGATGAAGCCTGAGCCGAGTCTGTGGGGACGCAGAGGAGGCAACAAGGCAGACAGTAAAGGGGCAGGTTGGACAGGGCTGTGGACGCCAGTAAGTGGGCAGAGGAAGCCAGGAGAGACCCCCCAGGGGAATCTTGAGGCCGAGGAGCTGATTTGAAAGGAGACACTGGGGTCAGGGAGGAGGTGATGAGGGTGAAGGGCCTTGGGGGCGGGCATCAGGAGATGGACAGGGATCAGGGGCTCAGGATTTAGGAGACATCTGCCTGTAGACTGTGAAGTGGGGGAAAAAAAAGGCCAAGAGACTTGAGGTGTGAGGGACAGGGAGGCCGGTGCCCACGTAGCCTCCCCTCATCACAGCTGATCACCCCCGCCCTCGGTCATCACAGGAACTGGCCGCCTCCGACCGTGCCCGACGGCAGGCTCAGCAGGAGCGAGACGAGATGGCAGATGAGGTGGCCAATGGCAGCCTTAGCAAGTGAGTAGCCTGTGGTCATGTGGGGCAGGGCGCCCTCCTCTGGCCATCCTGCCCTCTCACCTCCCCTGTCCCGGTTCTCCCTAGGGCCGCCATTCTGGATGAGAAGCGGCAGCTGGAGGGGCGCCTGGGGCAAATGGAAGAGGAGCTGGAGGAGGAGCAGAGCAATGCAGAGCTGCTCAATGACCGCTACCGCAAGCTGCTCCTGCAGGTGAGCACAGCCTGGTCACCTATGGCCAGCCTGGGTCCCCACTGACCTGGGACCATAACTTTCAGTCCTGTTCAACAGACATAGGAAGAGGGACTATTTGAGTTGTGTTTTGAAGGTTGAATAGGAGTTGGTGTGACATTGATGCATTCATTCACTTGTATTTCTGAAGTTTCTTAAGGATTAGACCCAAAGATAAATTTTGTAGTCTCTGTCCTGCAGAGTCTTATGGGGAAACAGACATGGGACTCTACTGTCACATTATAGAGTGGCATGTATGATACTAGAAGTATCCTGGGCCCAGGAGAGAGAGAGGAAAAAAACTCTCTGCAACAGTCACAGGGAAGAAGGGACATTTGGCTTGGCTTTTAAAAGATAAGAAGGAGCTAGACAGATGGAGAACAGCATATTTCATTTGTATATTTATTTGTAAATATTTTATGAGGCTTCTGAAGGCCCACAGCCTATTCTGGGTGGTGCTAGGGACCTGGAGATGGATCATTTCAGGTCTCTGCCCTTAGGACATCCTAGTCTGATTGAGGAGGCGACTATTCCAGTACAGAAATACAAATAAGAATGGAGGAAGCACAAGACACTGTGAGAACCTAGGGGGTACTACTGACCTAGGCTGGAGGCTGGGGGCTATCAGGGAGGACTTCCTGATAGAGGTGATGCCTTAAGAGTTCTTGTAGGAAGTTAAGAGTTTGCCAGGCAAACAAAAGAGGGATGGGATTTCCAAAGAGGGTTCTATGTCTGTATTATTTCATTCATTTTTAAAGATACATTTTGAGACCACTCATGGGGTCCAGTGCTGCTGGGGATTCAGCACTGACTCAGGAAGGAGTAAGACCCCAGCTCAGCCTTTGAGGAGCCCCTAGACCAGTAGGAGAGGCAGTCATATGCCAGGATAATGCAGCAGCCATCTCACTCAGAGTAAAATCCCGATTACCAACAAGGCCCCACACTCTGGTCCCTGGCTAACTCAGACCTTATGTATAAACCTTCTCCCTCTAGTTCACTCTGCTTCAGCCACACCAGCCTCCTCACTATTGTTTGACCATGCCAAGTTTATTCCTACCTCAGGGCCTTTGCACTTGCTGTGCCTTCTTCCTGGAAAGCTCTTCTCCCAGACCATCACACATTTCACTCCTTCTGACTGCCCTGTGTGAAACAGCCACCCGCCTCCCATAATTTCTCTGCATTCTGTTTTAATCTCCTATCAGTTACCACTGCCTGGCATCATATTATATATTTACTTATTTGTCTGTTGTTCATCTCCTCAACAGAATGTTAAGCACCTTGAGCATAGGGCCTTTATCTTAGTTTTCACTGCTCTATTCCCAGTACCTAAAACAGTGCTGGATGCTCATTATAAATGAAATGCGTAAGCCAATATATGCTCTCACAGAGGATACTACAACCATAGAAAGAGTGATATGAGCAGGGAGAGCATAGCTCAGTCATAGAGCACGTGCTTAGCATGCAAGAGGTCTTGGGATCAGTCACCAGTACCGCCATTAAAAAATACGTAAACCTAATTACCCCCCCCAAAAAAGAGACTTAAAAGATCTATTCAAAATTTTTTAAATGAGCAGGATTCAACTATAGGATCTAGGGATGCATCTTTGAGTAATAAAACTTGAAAAGAGAGCAAAGAAGTGTCCATCCAAAAAGTCAGGCTGATAACATGCTATTCAGAGGGAAAAGGAAGAGGGTTGTTATTAGGATGGGCGTGTGAAATTCTGTTTCTTCACCTGAGCAGGGGTGACCATGATATTTGCCTTCTCTTAACCCATTAAGCCATATATTTGATCAGGTTTTGTTTTGTTTTTGTTTTTGTTTTTTTACTTTTTCTGCATCACAGTTTTATTTTCCAATAAAAGTTTTTGAAAAATAGCATATGCCAATCACCATGTCGACGTGTTCCTGTGAGGGTGAAATGAAATAAAGTATGAATCAGACTGGATCTGACTCATTTCCGTGTCCCCGGCATAGGACCTCGCTCAGAGTATGAGCTGAATAAATAAATAAACAGGAACTATTATTAGGGGTGTGTTTACACATTTGCAATGTAGTAGCTACTGTTAATTGAGCTGGCATTTCTCAAAACGATCCTGCATATCATTCATATCCAAATCACCTGAGATTCTTGTTGAAAGTGTGGCTTCATGGACCCCATTCCAGACCAGCTGAATCAGAATCTCTACAGGGTGGGACCCTGTGGTCTGCCTTTGGTTCACAAGCTCCCCGGAGGATCCTGGTGCAAACAAAAGTGTGATAACCCTTGGAATAGACTCATTCACAGTCAGAGGTAGAATTTAAGTTTGCAATAGTCTCGTGGACTTATTAAAATAGAAAAAAATAAACTACCCAAAAGGTTAACCCAGGGCTGGCACTGCTGTTGCCTGATGAGCCAATTAGGAAAAATACACGCTACCCTTTGTTGAGTATTTAGTATGGACCAGGCTCTGTGCTATGAATCTTAACAATCATCAGCTCACTTAATGGGAGGTGCCTGGATTTACCTCCCACTTTCCCTCTGAGACTCAACCGTGACAGTCCCACCTTTCCCACTGCTGCTACAGGTGGAGTCGCTGACCACAGAGTTGTCAGCTGAGCGCAGTTTCTCAGCCAAGGCAGAGAGCGGGCGGCAGCAGCTGGAGCGGCAGATCCAGGACCTCCGGGGGCGCCTGGGTGAGGAGGATGCTGGGGCCCGGGCCCGCCAGAAGATGATCATCGCTGCCCTTGAGTCTAAGCTGGCCCAGGCTGAGGAGCAGCTGGAGCAGGAGATCAGGTAGGTGGGAGAGGAGGGCACAGCTGGAGGGTGACCCTTCGATTCTGGTAAATGAGATGAAGGGGAGCTGTATTACAAGCACCTGGTTTAGAAATGTCCAAAAGGCATCATCATGTTAATGGCTGAGGATTTCCTATACCATTTAGGATGTTTTGGGCTGCAAGAACCTGCATTCCCACTATATGATTTAAAGAGTCATGTAGCATTTAGATATAGCTGCATAACAAACCAGCTTAAAACTGAGGTGGCTTAAAACATCTGTCGTTTATTTAGTCATTTATTGCTCATGAGTCTGGGCTGGCGGGTAGGTTCTGCTGGTCTGGGCTTGGTGGGCCTCATGCATGCATCTTTGCTTAGCTAAAAGGAAACTAGATGGATTTGCTTATCTTGCCTGGGCTTTCAAAGTAGACAACTAGGCTAATGGGTCTCTGCTCCAGACTGGCCCAGGATTGTTCACATGGCAGAGTGAAGGATCCAAGAGTGAGGGAAATTGTTAAAAGCTTCTTGGGACCTAAACTGGAAACTGATACAATTTCACTTTTGCCACATTCTGTAACTAAAGCAAATCATGTGGCCAGCTCAGATTTAAGTAAATGGAGAAAGATTCTACCTCTTTATAGGAGCAGCTGCAAAGTCAGATTGCGAAGCGTGTGAATACAGGAAGGGGTGAGAATTGAGGCAATTTCTGTCACTAATCCATCCCAAAGAATTTATTTTTCTCATGTTATAAGATGTCTGGAGCTGGGTAGCTGAAAGGTGGCAGGGCTCTGGGTCAGCATCTGGGTCTATTCCCCTGGTCTTTCCCTTTTGGTCACAAAATGGCTGCACTGGTGCCAAACATCACACCCATACATCCATGTTCAAAGTCAGGAAGCAGCAGCAGTGTGGAGCTGAGAGAGTGTCCATCTCCAATCTCTGAAACAATCAGAAACACCCCCAACCTTCATAGTTAAGAACCCCTGCGCTAATAAAATGAACAGAATATTTATTACTAAGCCTAATAAATGTCACTCATCCAATACAAAAGATTTTTCCTATTGCTTAATACTGTTCAGTATCAATAATATCAATAATAATAGGTCCCACTTATTGAGGACTTACTACATGTAAGGTGCTGGACTGCTTGTATATCCATGTATGATATAACGTAATCTTGTGAGAGAAGGACCATTTTTATCCTGTTTGATATATATAGGAAAACTCAGGCAAAGGCAGGCTATACATCTAGGATGCCTGAACCATAATTCACCATCTCTACCATTGTCTGGTGGAGAAGACTGTTGTTTTATGCCAAAAAGTATATAAGGTCACCTTTGTATTCATTCATTCATTCAAAAAACATGTATTAAGAGTGTACTGCTTAGACGCCCATGCCTGCACAACTAAGGAAATGATGGAGAATTGGACACACCTGTGGAGGTCAAGATCTGATGGGATTCCCTGGCCAAGAAAGACTCATGACCTGGGCATAGTGACAAAGGGGACAGCCTGTGACCTAGTAGGTCTGGGGGAACAGAGTTGAGGAAGAAGCTGAATCAGCCTGAGATGGGGTAGTTTTGGAAGGGTTCCTGAAAGAGGAGGCATCTGAGCTAGGAATGAGAATATTTCCAGGGCACAGAGTCCCAGACAGAGTGGCAACCTTGGGGGAGCATATGGGAGACCAGGCACTTGGAGCAGTGCGATTGGTCCTAGGACTCTGCAACTCAGTGAGGCAAAAGCCTTGAAAGCCAGACTGAGGCACTCTGTCCTGGGTGATGGGGAGCCACAGGGGGCTGTGAGCTGGGGAAGGGCAGGGCCAGTGCTGGGTGCTAAAGGACCCCTCTGGGGCCAAGTTGGGAACAGAGCAGAAGAGAGACTGGGAGATGGGAAGCTGGGGAGGAGGCTGGATGATGGTTCATACAGAAGGTGAGGCCCGAGTAGGGAGCTGGGGTGTGGATGAGCATGACAGGATGAAGGAGAGTTGGAGGCAGAATGGGTGCGCTGTTGGAGGTCAGAGGAGAAGAGAGCAATGTTTGGGGTTAATATCTGCTGACTGGGTGGATGTTGGAGGTTGGGGGAGGATGTTGAATTCACTGGGGAACATGAGAGTGAGAGGTCCCAGGACAGGCAGAAAGTAGTGGCCTCAGAGGTTCATGGAAGAAGTGGTTCTCGTCCAGGGGGCTGGCCAGGGGCCCAGGGGCTCATGGGAAATGTAATTCAAGGTCTCTGGGGAGGCCTTCAGAGGCTGATGGAGGTACTCACCGATCTGAGTACCCACCCCCATCATTATACAATGAAATTGAGGCTCAAAGGATGTTAATTACCTGCTCAAAGTCACTCCAGGAGCAAGGAGTGACCCACCGATCCTTAGTTGAAGGAGTCTCACCCCTGCATCCCTCCCATGGCTTAGTGCTCTCCCACTTCCCCCAGCCCCGTGCCTGCCTCTCAGCACAGCTGGGGCTGCCATGGCCAGTCGTGGCTGCCGAGCACTGCCCGACGCTAGGTGCCATGGTGTGCTGGTCTACGTGGGAGACTATGGATGAGCAATGACCATGGGGATAGGGAAATTCGGGAAATGAGAGGGAAAGGATTTCAGGGAGAGAGGAGGTGAGGATGGCTCCCAGTGTCTGACTTGCAGATCTAGGTGGGAATTGGGAGACGGGCTGGTTTCAGAGAAAGCTTGAGCCCAGTGAAGGATGTACAGTTTCTGACGGACATCCGAGGCTAGGGGCTGAACCAGGCTGGAGCTCAGGAGACATTTTTAGCAGACATCGGGCTGCTGATGGTTGTGGAAACCTGGGGCATGGATGAGCTTGTCCAGGGAAGGCGTGTGAGTGAAGGGAGAAGACAGCAAAGATGGTTAAGGTTGGAGCTTTGGGCTTCCAGAGTGTCTGTGGCAAACACAAACAGCCAGAAAAGGAAGTTGAGAGAGAAAGAACAGAGGGAGAAAGAAGATTCCAGGCCAGGTGGAGGGGAGGTCAGGTGGGAGATGAATCCTGAGCTGGGCGATAGGGCTGTGAGGCTGAGAGGAGGGGACAGTACAGAGTCCAGGGGGCAGTGGGACAGGGCTTAGGTACTGACATACTGGGGGTGGAGCAAAGGAGAGAAAAAGGGTTAGGATGATGCCTGGTGGTCTGACTTGGAAACTAGTGGTCAGTGGGTCAGCTCCCTGAGAAGAGGAAGACTGGGGACAGGGGTAGTATACAGTTGAATATGAGAGACCTAGTGGGATATGGAAAACTGGTGTAGACATGAAACACTATTAGAAACATCATTAGTAGAAGCCGAGGACTAGATGCCCCAGAGTGGGGAGCCTGGGTGCCAGTGTCTGGCCTGAGTAGACTGTGGGAGCCAGTCATGGGTGGGAAAGAGGGCAGAGGCCACTCCAAGAACAGGTGGCAGCCACTGGATGAGGCTGGGGGAACAGAAGCACAGGTGAGCAGCTCTCCTGATTCTTTCCTTCATGCCTCCTCAGGGAGCGCATCCTCTCTGGCAAGCTGGTGCGCAGGGCTGAGAAGAGGCTTAAAGAAGTGGTGCTCCAGGTGGAAGAGGAGCGGAGGGTGGCCGACCAGCTCCGAGACCAGGTGAGCAGCTGATGTCATTGAGGAGCAGAGGGGGCGGGGGGACCGTTGGAGGCATTGAGATTCCATCAAAAGAGGCAGCGTGTGGGTGCTGAACTAGAACTGAGTGCAGACACCATCTTGGGGCTTGGTGCGTCAGGAGAGAGAAGGAATCAATGACTTTGTGGTCTGTAAATTCTGGAATCTAAGAAAAGCCCTGGTTGGGAGCTAAGACAACAGGGAGAAGGAAGAAGTTAAACCATGCCAAGAGTTAGGCCATGGCTAAAATAACAACGCATGGTGTTTATTGAGTGCTTTAACGAGCCAGGCACTCTGCTAAAGACATAACATGTAGCACATTTAATTCTTGTCAGAACCCTATGAGGTAGGTACTATTATTTTTCCTCTTCTCCAGGTGAGGAAACTGAGGCACAGAAAGATGGAGTAACTTGCTCAAAATTATTTATTTAGTAAGAGATGGAGACAGAGTTCAAACTCCAGCACTCTGGTGAAGAATCGGTGCTCTTAATTACTTACTGAGCAGTTACTTTGTCCCAAGCAGTGTGCTACCTGCTTTCATTCTCTCATCAGCTCCATTTCACAGGTGAGAAAATGAAAACTTCATAAGGGGATATAATTTGCCCCAGAGTCAAAATAGAGATAGTCTGGATGAGATCCTCTTGGATCCTCTTGCTAACCTCCACCCCAGTCTCAAATGTGAGTCTCATTGCCGTGCCCTTAAAAGCTCAGCTGTGTTTTATTCACTATTTATTCCACTAAACAATTATTGAATACCTGCTACCTGCCAGGCACTCTGCAAGGGATTGGAGATATGGTTGTAAATGACACAGAGAAGGTCCCTGCCCTCATGGAGCTCACATTTTCAGCATAGGAAAAGGAAGACACCATTACAGATTGTGACAGGTGCTATGAAGGAAAAAGAGAGTGAAAGAGGGGGACACAGAGGATTGGGGAATTGTCCCTAGATTGAGGGGGAGAGTGTTAGGAAAACTTCTCTAAGGAGGTGACATTTGAATTGACACTGAAGGGTGAGGAAGAGCCAGGCAGAGGGAACAGCAAGTGGAAAGACCCTGGGGCATAGAAATGAGCTTAGTGAGTTCCCAGCAAAAAGCAGATCAGTATGGCCCAAGAGAATAATGCGGTTCGAGGGTTGAGTGATAAGAAATGAGGTTATAGGGGTTGGCAGGAGGCAGATCATGTGTGTCCCTCCTGGAGAGAGGGATGGCAGGTTCTGGGGAAGGTCTCGGTGAAGATGGTCTGATCAGTGTGTTTATCGGAAGAAGACCCTGCAGGGCGCGGAACGCCAGGCTGAGGGGCTGGGACTTTGTCCAGGGTGCACGGGGGAGCCACGGGAGGACTTTGAGCAGGGGAGGGGCAGGGTCAGCTCCGGGCTTAAAAATGACTCCTCTGAGGCCGAGTGGGGGAATGGCCTCACCTTCAAGGTTGGTGTGGAGGCTTGGAAGGAGGATGTGGATCAGAACAAAGCATGAACCGAAGGCAGAGCACGGGACAGTCGGGATGCAGGAGGGATGGGGCTGTGGGAGTGGGTGAGGGTGGCTCCCAGAGGCATGACCCTACCCCTGCTGCTCCTGCCCAAGCTGGAGAAGGGAAACCTTCGAGTGAAGCAGCTGAAGCGGCAGCTGGAAGAGGCCGAAGAGGAGGCATCCCGGGCTCAGGCTGTCCGCAGGAGGCTGCAGCACGAGCTGGAGGATGTCACAGAGGCATCCGAGTCTATGAACAGGGAGCTGAACACTCTGAGGAACCGGCTCCGGTGAGGCCACCCCGCACATGCGCACCATGAACCCCAGTTCCCCCATCTCGCTCTGGCCACTCATCTCTCTCCTTTCCCTTTCCATTTCATTTTGTCTCCCCATCTCTCTCTGTCTCTCACTTTTCTTTGTGCCCCCTCATTTAATCCCTGTCTCCGGGTCTCTCCTCGGCCCTGCAGGCGCGGCCCCCTCACCTTCACCACCCGCACGGTGCGCCAGGTCTTCCGACTGGAGGAGGGCGTGGCGTCCGACGAGGAGGCAACGGAGGAGGCCGAGCCGGGGTCTGGACCCCCGCCCGCAGAGCCAGACGGGTCCCCCGCGACCCCACCCCAGTGACCCCGCCCTGCCCCCAGCCACTGGGCCCTCCCTCCTTGGCCCCCTTGGTGCCTGCGCCACGAACCTCCCTCTGGCTTCTCGCATTTTGGAAATGGTGCCACCCTCTGACATAACAGCACTTTGTCAACCCCACCCTGGGGATCCCCTGAGACTTCTCATGAACCCCAAAAACACAGAGGAGCAGGCAAGCAAAGTGGCAAGGACTGGAGCTCTCTTGGTTGGGAGAAATTTGGGTGTCATTGGCAACTGGAGTCCCTTCCAGCTTCAAATCTTCACTTGTTATAAATGATCTTTATTATCAGGAAGGGAACATGGCTCCCCTGCCCTCCCCAGCCAGGGATCCCCAGACTTCTTCCTCTGCCCCTCCTACTTAGCCACTGACCCCAGAACTTCTGGGTGACAGCGCCCTGAGGCTGCCACCAGCCTTGCGGAGGGGCTGGATAAGGGGACCCCTCTCATCCCCTCTCCCTCCATTCTCTGCCCTCCCTTCCGGTTGCTCTTGTGTGATCATGGTTCACAGTTCAGTTGGAGTTCCCTTGGGGGCTGGAGGAGGCCCCCATACGCTCCCAGCCTCCAGGCTCGGCAGAAATAAACTCCAACCCCAGTTGGACCCTGCGGGGGCTGTGTGTGTTCCTGGAGGGATAGGGGGGCAGGGTGGGCAAGAGTTTTTAAAGCTTCTTTGGGAAGGGGGCAGTCTGCTGGTTCTAATCCCAGCTGGCCAGTGTCAGGGGACCTCCTGTGCTCCCAGCATTCAATGTGAAAGAACTCATTTCCCCCTGACCCAGCCTCCCTCCCTCCAAGGTATTCCCTCCATTATACAGATGGGGAAACTGAGGCTCAGAACTGCAGGGTCTCTTGTTCCAAGCCTCCCAGCCAGTGAGTGACAGAAGGGGGTTGCTGCACTCTGGCTGACCCCCAAGTCTTTGCAAAACGGTGACAGTAGTGGCTGCTAAGCCGTTTGCTGAACACTATTTGTTTAGCTGTGCTGAACTGGGGCCATTAGTTTCAACCCGCAGTACAACCCTTAGAGGGAGGGCTTTCACTGCTTTCCAGTGTCTAGAACGGTGCCTGGCATGTAGTTGGCCTTCGTTTATTTGCTGAATGAATAGATCACCCCCTCCTGCCCTTTTCATGGTGGAAATAAGCCCAGAGAGGTTGAGAGATTTGCCCAAAGACACACAGCTACTAAGAAATTGAACCCAGTCTGGTAACGCCTGAGCCCACACTGAGGAACCCAGGTCCACTCTTTTCCTGGGCACCAGTCACCCTCACAGACTTCCCAGTTAGAGCTGTGAAGCCCCATTTTTACCGTCAGGGAAACTGAAGCAAGCACTCGCTCCCTCAAAATCAGATGAGAGCCAGAGAGCAAGGGGATGTCTGGACCCTCAAAGTGCATGCCCTTTGCCGTTTGAATATGACCCCTACTATTGAAGACCCAACCCTTCTCTCTAACCCCCAAAACCCCCAGCCTCGATCAGGAGACCTTCCCTGAAGACAAAGAGGAAGAAACTTCTAAATGAAAAGGAAACTTTTATTTCGGTTGGGAGTGGGAGGGTGGGTGGGAAGGGGGCATGACACTTTCTTTGGGGAGAGGGGGTGACATGCGGCAGCTTCTGCATTGGGCGGTTCATGCACCCAGGGTGGGCTTGGGGGAGGCTTGGGGGAGGGGCCATGCCGACCCCTCCCTCCCTGCCCTGGGGGTGGGCTGAGAAGACCCGCCATTAGCACCAGAGTTGGACGATTTGCAGACCTCCCCTCCCCAGACTGACTCCGGACACCCGCCCCCATCCCTGAGAGCTCCCCTTGCCACTGCCCTCCCCCCCAATCGACAGGCCAGGCCCGCCCCGCCCACTTTTGAATGAGAGAAACTTATTGCTGTTTGTGTGTTGGGGAGGAGCCGCTGAGTTCAGAAAGACCCCGGCCATTCATTCCTCCCCAATCCCCCCGCCCCCCGCCCCGTGTCCGTGCGTTTCCGGAGCGCAGGAGGGGCGCGTCATGCGTGTGGGGAGCGCGTCATGCAGCGCATGCGTGTAGTTGCAGGCACCCTGGCGGCCGGGGAAGAAAAGTAGAGCGGGACTTGGAAGTTGTCCCTTTAGCTCGCTCGCTCTCTCTCCCTCCCCGAATCCCACACTGTTTGTTGACTTGGGGGACGGGGAGCAAGAATAACGTTTTGTAGAGGTTTATAATGATTGTGGTTATTTTTAAAAGCTGAACTAAAAAGCTGGGTACGTGTGGCAGATTGGCGAGCAGGAGGAGACGTTGGGAAGAGGTCCGTACTCTTTAGAAAAAATCCTCACCCCCTTTCCCCACACCGTTCGGCTTCCGTGAGGGTCAGGGGTATCTGGGGGCTTTTTTTGTTTTAAAGAAGTTAAACCCTTTGGCAATATAATCAGTCTCCACCCCCATACCCTGGTGTCTGAAGCCCCTAGCCCTTAGACCCGCCCCACCCCGCTCCCACCAGAACCCGCCCCACCCCTCGCCCCTGATTCGCCAGGGTTTAGGGTCCGAGGGAAGGATGGGGGGACTCAAAATGCCCCTTGCATAGGAATCATTGCATCAAGAATCGTGCTCAGTGACACCCACCCCCCAACACTCGGGTTGGGAGTAGGGGATTCCTGAGGCCTTGGGAGCAGAGGGAAGGAGGTTGCTAATTCCATGGGCCTCCAGGTCCAGAAGGGGGGAGTCCCCTAAGGATTCTGGGACCTGTGTGGTCTCTGGGTTTGGGGGAGGTAGCGCATCCTTGAGCCAGGATGGGATATGAGAAATGATTTTCCACCGCGAGAGTGGTGGCGACGAACGCCGTGGAAGGGCAGGCTGGGTTCCCAGCCAGATGGATATGTCGTTCTCCAAGCTTTTGATATTCCAGTGTCCCTCCATTCGGGCACAGCCTCCACTTTAAATAGATATACTTCTAACCTAAATAAACGAAGTCCTGGCCAAGTAGCAGTATCTGGACTTGCCAGCTTATATGTGAAACGCCAAGACAAAACTTTAAACAGAAGTGTTTGTCTTTGCACTGCCCTAAACTAGCACATTGCCAGGGGTACAAATATGACCCTCTGGGAAACATTGGCGTCTATGAAGAAGGTGCCTTTGGGGCACCATTTAAGGAAAGAAGCTCTTGGTAGGGCAGGGTTAGGCATAAGGAAGGGAGTGCCCCAGGAAGGTCTGGTTCCCTGGAATTGCAGAAAGGTTGAGCCTATCTTGGAAATTCTAGCGTCTCGGGAACCTGAGGGGGATTCTGATCTCAGATCTGGGGATGTCCAGGAAACGTCCGAGTGTGGGAAAGATTTGGAGCATCCCAAAGGCTGAAAGTGAGCTGAAAGGCCGGATCAAGTATTGGAAGTTTGAGAGGTGCTGGGATGCAGCTCAGGGAATGTGTGGGAGTGGAGCTGGGGGTGTGGGGAACAGTATCTGTGTGCAGAGGTGAAGTCCTAGGAGCAGGGGGGAATGTGGAGGATGCGGGGTGCCAGGGTCAGTCTTGGGAATGCTGGGTGCAGGTCTCATGTCCTGGGAATCTGTAAGGGGTGTTGGGGAATTGTGTGTGCTAGGGCCGGCTCATCCCAGGAATGCTGGGATGGGAGGTCTGAGTCCATGCAGCAATAGAGGCGAGCAGATCCCTGGCGGGGGGAGCAGGGAGGAGGAAAGAGTGAAATTCACCAGAGGGATCCTTCTAAAGGCTGAGATAGCAGCTGTCCGCAGCCCACCCCCAATGCCTCCGCTTCTACCATCTGAGCTCAGCTCTGGTTTTTGGCTTGGGTAACAGTTCCTCCTTCCCCCACATTGTTGCTAATTTTTTAAAAAACTCAATGCGTGATGGGTTGCCCTCTGGGGGTGAAAGGTAGGAGGATAGAGACCCCCATGTGGCTTAAAGGCCAGCCCGACCCCCTTGAGGTCCCTGCCCCCTTCCCAGAGTGCCCCTTCCCTCGAACGCGGCATGCAGCCCCTGGCGGCTTATTGCTGAGGTGGAGTTGGAGAGGGCTGGGGGTCCAGGTTGGGGGAGGCATGCAGAGTAGGAGGGAGGTGCCCCAACATGTAATTGGCATAATTTGGACGTATTTACAGGAGCTGATGGGAGGGGGAGTGTCCTATGGCTCATGGAGACCTGAGAAGGCTTTTTTTGGGGGGGTACGAAGAGTTGGGGGACGGGCTTTGGCTCCTCCCCCTCCATCCTGGGGGCCCAAGTTGGGATGAGGGGCCCGGGGGTGTCTGCTGGCGTCGTCGTCTCGGTTGCATATTATTAATGACTTTTGATTTTTTTAAAAAACCCTTTCCCCCACCCTCCACCCCCAGCTCCTTTGACCTTCTTCCCTGTCACCCCCGAGTCCCCCCACGGGGGGGAGGGGAGCGCTAGAGGATGGAGGGCAGGGTTGGGGGAGCGCGGCGGGCGGCCCTGGGAGAGCCAGGGGGAGTGGCAAGGGGCGCGAGGCGCAGGGACACCCCGCTCAGGCCCGCGATGCTGCTCAGGCTGCGGGATTTCTCGTAACCTGGGTGGGAGGGGCGAAGGGCAGAAACACCAGGAGGAAGCCAGCAGATGGGAGTGCAGGGGGAGGGTCCAACAGACAGACCCCAAGACAGAGCGAAGCAGGAGGGAAAGATAGAAAGGATATGAGGTGGAAAAGACAGAAACAGGAAAAGACAAGAGACAGAAAGAGAGATGGGAGGGAGAGGGCAGAGATCCAGAGAGAGAAGGCGAGAGATAGAGACGGGGAGGGAGACAGACACCAAGACACAAAACGACAGGTGGCAAGAGACAGAGATGGACAGAGGCGGACCAAGGAGATGGAGAGAGAAAAGTGAACAAATTGGACAGTCAGTTGGCATCAAGGAGAAAGGTTCAGACATGGGGAGGGGGGAGAGACTCAGGGTTAGGAGGCAGGGTGGCACCCACCGAGCCTCCCCCACCCTATCCCCACCGCAGCCCACCCCTCAACCCCCCTCCCCCAGTTGGCCCCCTCGTCTGAGGCAAATAGGGGGGCAGCAAGGCAGATGGTGGGCAGCACGGGCATGGGGAGGGCGCTTGGGTGGAATGCCAGTAGGGGAGCAGCAGGTGGAGAGGGCTTGGGAGGAAGGGGTGGGGCCACAGGGGGCGGGGTGCTAACCTAGATGTAGAAAAGGAGGACAAGCAGGTGTGGGGGGGCTGTATGGAGCAAAAGTCCGCAGTGCCTCGGTGGGGCTGGAGGACAGCTCCAGGAGCACGTTGATGAAGGCAAGGCTCGCCAGAAGCTTGTAATGGGCTATCTTTAAAGGATTCAAGAAGACTTTAAATGGGCATCGTCTGATGGGAAGGTTCTGACCAGTATCTTGATAGTCAAAGGGATCTAAGGCTTACACATTATAAAATGATTATAAATCAATAAAAAATATTTTTAAAAAAGGGATCTAATGCTTAAGAGCATGTGTGTAGTTTCTTGAAAGTTTGAGAATGTCTTAAGAGTTCTCCTACTAGTGTCGGGGGTGTTCAAGGGCTTTCCTAGGCAGTGCCAAGAGGTCTTTCTGGACAAGGGTATCTTGACCGTGGGAGAGAGGGTGGGGTGGGGGAGGGTTGGAAGCCCAGTATCTTGAGGACACCCCCTCCCAACCATACCCAATTGCTAACCTGGGGGGAAGGGGCAGGGGGGGACCGAGGGTCTCGCGAGGTCTCAGGCGGTGACAAGAGCTGGGGACAGAAATACACAAAGTCACGGTGGGGGGGTGGGGAGGGTGGTTAGAGGGAACCCCCCCAACACAGCCTCACTGTTGGGGGGACGGAGAAACGCCGGGATCTCGTCCTCCTCTCTGGTGTTTTCCGGTGGGGAGGGCAGCAGTGAAATGGGGGCGGCCAGAGACATCAAATATGGAAGGAGCTTCCGGGGTGGCTGGGGGGAGGGGGAGAATGAAGGAAGAGAGGAGGGGGAGGGCTGGGGAGGAGGGGGACAAGTGTCAGGTGGTGATGAGGGAAGATAGAGAGGAAGGGTCATAGGGCAGGTGGAGGACCGGTCAGGAGGGAGGGTCTTGGAAGAAGTGGGTGGAGGAATGGTGGAGGGTGGGTCTCAGGGTAAGAGGGGAGGGGTGTGGAAAGGGGAGGGATCCAGGACCCTGGGGGAGGGAATTCAGTCAGCACCATCAGCTCCAGCCATTATTTGAGTTCAATGAATGGATTTTGGCATCAAAGGCAAGAGAAGCAGAGACCTCCCCCCACCCACCCCCACTCCTCCCTCACCCACATTCCCAAATCCTCCCCCCTCCCCCAGCCCCTCAGTCCCATGGGGGCCCATCCAGACCTGCAGGTGGGAAACAAAGGGAGGTAACAGGTCGGGGTGCAAGCAGGGGGAGGAGTGAGGTGGGAGCCAGGAGGCAGGGACTGGTAATGAGATGAGAGTGGAGGATGATGTGGGGGTGGGGGTGGTTGCAACAAGAAGTTGAAGGTTGGAACAAGAAGAACCAGACAGTCCTCTCTGGACTACAAGCCCGGAAGCCGGGTTCTCGACCCCCAGCTGCCGTGGCCTGGGGTTGGCCATGGCCCTCCCTGAACCTCTGTAACACCAGGGGGGTTAGATGCGGGTGTCCTTGGAGGCTCCCTGAGTCCTGCTATGGCATCTCCTTAGGCTGCCGGTGGGGATCCTTTAGGATGCATCTGTTTCTGTGGAAGATTCCACAGGTGTTTATTGAATAAGTCATGCATCAAATTCCTTCAGGTGGCTTCCTATCACTTTTAAGATCAAATCCAGCCTCTCACCAAGGCCAAAAAAAGCTTCCCCCAGATTCTTCCCCTCTCCCCTGGGCCACTCAGCCCCAGCCACACATCCCTCCTTGCTGTTCCTTTAACAGACCAAGCTCATTCCTCCTTAGTAACTCAGGGCCATTGCACGTGCTGTTTCTTCTGCCTGGTTGGCCCTTTTTAGCTTTCCAATGTCATGTCGCCTTCTCCGAAAGGACTTCACAGACCCCCTCTTATCTAAAGTGGCCAGATAATTATCTTTGTGTTTGTTTTCTGCTTCCTCCATTCATGGGGTGTTGAACTTTCCCTGTAAAGGGCCAGATAATAAAGATATTTGGCTCTGCGGGGCCATGCCATCTCTGTCAAAAAAGCTATTCTACTCTGCTGTTGTAGATAGTGGCTGGGTTCCAATAAACTTTATTGACAAAACAGCTGGCTGCCAGCCTTGGCCCATGGCTGTAGCATGTCGACCCCTGCTGTAGAGTGCAAACTCCATGAGGGTAGATTCTTCCCTTGTGCACTGCCAAATCTCCAGTACCTGGACCTGTACCCTCAATAATTAGTTGCTGAATGAATGAATGAGTGAATGAATGAATGAAGTTAGGGGTTAGCTGGGGTTGATGTGAAGATTACAGAATATATGTTAGATTCCTGGCAAGTGCTAAGTGCCTAGTTATGTTTGCTGAACAGCTGTCTAATATCTCTTCTCTCTATTGCCATCACCTCCCCACTGGCCAGTCCGAACCCTGTCCCTTTTGACCCCTGGCCCCCTCAACTCTTTCTGCCTCTTTCTTCTCCATCCCCATAGCCCTGAGCCAGGCTCAGGCCTTGCCTTCCAGCCCTGCACCTTCACCCCAGCCTCCTTCTGACCTCCAGTCTCCCCACTCTGGGGCATCCTCACAAGGCCCCAGAGGTGACCTGCCCCCCACCCCCAGATCCCTGGACAAGGTCCCTCTGCCTGGCCCTGCTTTCCTGCCTCATGTCTCTCTCCTAACCCAAGTAGATTTACTACTGACTGTGCTGGTGCTGGTCCCTCTCCTGACTGCTGTAAAAATGGATCACTTCCTCACTTTCAGTCAGGATAAATAGGTATCAGCTCCTTTGGGAAGCCTTCCCTCCTATCCTCAGGGTTTTGCATGTTCCTCTTCCTGCCTGTCTCTGGGCTACCTCCATTTCAGCCTATAGAGCTTCAGATAGTGACTTTCAGACCTGTGTCTGCCTCTCCCACCAAACTGCGCGCTCCCAGGGCTGGGATGGTGGGGGGAGGGTGATGTGCTCACTGTTGAATTCCCCCAGCCTCGCACTGCACCACAAACGCTTGTGTGCTTTCTAAGGGCTGGCCAATCCACAAGTGACCAGATGAGTTGCTTTGTCCTTCTCACTCCATTTTGCACCCAGAAGAGCATCCTGGGGGACATATCCCATTTTCTTGATTAAAAAACAACAAAAAACCAAGGCAGGAGGCAGGGAGAGATGTGGATGGTGGTGAGGACTGGGGTCAGTCGTGAGGGCGGGGTAGGGAGGTCAGGCACACAGTAGGGAGGGTCGGGGTTAGTTCTCAGGGGTTAGTGAGGGGCACGGCAAGTCCTGGCAGGTGGGTGTGGGGTCAAGTGTCAGGGCTGGGGGTTAACGGGATGGAGCTGTTCACAGTGAGGAGGCAGGAGTCTTGGTCAGTGGGGGCTGCATGTTCTCAGATGGGTTAGTCAGGAGAGAGGGAGTTCAAGGGTGGGGGCTACTTACCCCGGGGGGAGGGGGTTCGTCCACTAGGGGGATATCCAGGCCGCAGCGTTGGCGTTGAGGTCGGGCAAGAAGCTTGGGGGGCCTGGCTTACGCCAGTCTGGGGGGGGCAGTGGGGGAGCACCGGTGGCTGGGGGTGGGGGAAGAGGCCAGAGGGTCCAGGGTGGGGTGGGGGGAAATGGAGATGGAATAAAGACAGGTGAAGGGTCAGTGGTAAGGAAATTCTGGGCGAGGGGGTCTGAGAGGGAGGGAACTGGGGGCCAGGAGATAGGAGAAGGGAAGTCCAGCACCTCCTCCCTCAACTCCCTCACCCCCCTCCCCTGGGGGAGGGAGGAGAGGGAGGGTCCCAAGGGGCCAGTGGAGGGCACCTCACCTTTCCGGATGGAGCCATCAGGGGAAGGGGCGTAGTCTGTGAGGAGGAAGCAGGCTCGGTCCCGGCTGTAGCGGCCCCGGCTCCCAGGGGTGATGGGGCTCTTGTCTTCCGGGGACATGGCGGGCTGGTCGATGGCTGGGCAGTCCTCATGGGCAAGTGCAGCTGCTGCAGGGTCCCCATTGGGGCGGGGATCTGCGCCCCGAGGGTCAGAGACACAAAGAAGAGAGTGAGGTATGGGACTTGTGGTGGGCCAAGAGCAGCAAGGAGAGGGTGATGGAGCATGCAAGGTGTTAGGGGGGATGGCTGTGGGATATTGGGGGAGGGTGCTGAGTGCCAGGAAGTGGTGGTCAGGCCAGGTGTTGGGTGAGAAGGGCAGGACTGGGCTAGGGTGTCAGGGGTTTGGAGGGACAGGGGAAGAGGAGGTTGGGAAGTGAGCCAAGTGCTGGGAAGGAGGTTGAGAAGGAGCATAGGGTGGGATGGTTGGTTGAAGTGAACGGAATGGGGCACAGCTGGGGCAGGGTGCTGGGTTGGTAGGGTGCACGGTTTGAGATAGGTTTGGAGGGATGGCTGGGAGGGATGTAGGGTGCTGGGAGGTGGCTGTTTGGGGAAGGGGAGTGGGACGCTCGCTGGAAAGGTCACAGCAGGGAAACATTGGGAAGGTGACAGATGAGGGAGGGTGGAAGTGGGGGTCCCCGAGGCTCTGACTCGAACTATTTTTATTTGGTGTGAAACTGGGTCAGCGGCTGAGGGAGCAAGATGGGGGCCGGGCGGCCCAGCTCCCTTTCTTGACCTACTTAAGGAGGGGGTGGGGCTCCCCCAGCCTATCTCTCCTCCTGGACTGATGCCTCAGTCACTGCCTCCTTGGAGGCACAGACTCCCCTGGGGCAGGGAAGAACACAGGTGAGGTCAACTTTCCTCTCCCCTCATCTCCTTCGCTTCACCTCTTCCTCCTGGCAATATCTCCATGAATCTCTTTCAGATCCCTCAGACTGCCCTCTGCGCTGGGTCTGAAATCACCCTCTGTCATGTGGTCATTCTGCCCTCTGAACCTCTCTCCCCTACCTCGCCTCTACCTAAGTCTTAGCTCAAAGTCTTGTCTCCTCGCCTGGTCTCGCAGTTGTTAAAACTTGAACTCCTTGCCGCTGACTCTCATCCCCCTGCCCCACCTCTGTCCATTCGGACACCCGCCCCCACTCACTCCCTCACTCCTCTCAGTGACAATCTCGGTTTCAGACTCTCAACTCTAGAGTCTTTTTTTGCAGGGTCATCTCTGGGAGACTCAGACGCTACAACTGTCCCCTGGCCTCTGTCTCTGGCCACCCGTGATTCACGTATGAGACTCTGTGTCTCTCTGAACCGCCCCCTTTCTCTTTCTCTGAGTCCCTCTCACCATATGGTAATCACTCCGCCTCCCTGGTCCCCCTGAATACCTTGGCTGCCAGTCTGTCTCTCCTCAAAACTCTCTTTCCCATGAAATCTGTTTCTCCATCACTGTATTTCCCTGCTCTTCCCAGGTCTCAGAGATCACTATTCACTTTTCTCTCTCCCCTCTGTTGCTGACCATCGTGTCTCTCCAAAGCTCAGCCACTACCCTCTGTCCACCTCGTAACCCCCCCCACCCACACACACACACCCGTCCCTTGAGCCCCCTCCTCACCTGCCCGGTTGATCTCAATCACTTCTTCCTGAGCCAACGGGCAAGGCTCCCCTGGAGCCGGCAGAGGCGGCAGCCCCATGATCCCGAGCCCACCCGCTCCCCCCCTGAGCAGCCCGGGGTGCGTGTGGGGCCCTGGTGGGTAGGCCCCGGCCACAGTCACCCCCATGGAGGGCGGGGTGATGGGTGGAGGGGGGCTGATGCCACCACTGCCGTGGTGAGGGTGGGGCGGGGGCGGTGGGGGTGGGTCGGGCTTGCAGTAGTTGGGCGAGCCAGGCTGCGGAGGCCGGGGGATATGTTTGTTCTTCTTCTTGGGAAGCTTCTGTTTGGCCATGGCCAGCGAATAGTACATGCCAAAGTTATTGACAATGACGGGCACCGGCATGGCGATGGTGAGCACCCCCGCCAGGGCACACAGCGCCCCAACCAGCATCCCCGACCACGTCTTGGGGTACATGTCTCCATAGCCCAGGGTTGTCATGGTGACCACGGCCCACCAGAAGCCAATGGGGATGTTCTTGAAGTAGGTGTGGTTAGAGCCCAGGATGTCATCGGGGTCAGCGCCAATGCGCTCGGCATAGTAGATCATCGTGGCAAAGATGAGCACGCCCAGTGCCAGGAAGATGATGAGCAGCAGGAACTCATTGGTGCTGGCGCGGAGCGTGTGGCCAAGCACGCGCAGCCCAACAAAGTGGCGCGTGAGCTTGAAGATACGCAGGATACGGACAAAGCGGACGACCCGCAGGAAGCCCAGCACATCTTTAGCGGCCTTGGAGCTGAGGCCCGAGAGCCCCACCTCGAGATAGAAGGGCAGGATGGCCACACAGTCGATGATGTTGAGGCTGCTCTTGAGAAATTCCACCTTGTCTGGGCAGAAGGTGATGCGCATGAGAAACTCAAAAGTGAACCAGACAACGCACACACCCTCCACATAGGTCAGAAAGGGCTCCGTCTCCACCTCCACGTTGGTGATGTTCTCCGGTGGAGCCCCAGGGATGGGGGAGGCCTGCGTCACCGTCTTGTTGCTGATATGGATGAAGCCCTCATGGGTCTCCAGGCAGAAGGTGGTGATGGAGATGAGGATGAAGAAGAGGGAGGCAAAAGCCACATACTGCAGGGCAGGGCGGGAGAAAGAGGGCAAGAGGTGACCCAGGCATCTGGTCAAATGGCCATCTCCACGAGACCCTCCCAGTGGCCCCTTTCCCAGACCCAAACTCCAGGGGAATCCGGCTGTCCCAACCCCAAAGCCTCCATCACCTCCTACATCCTGTTCTTCTCTCTAAAGCTTGCAAAAGGATCAGAGGCAGCTCTCCCCCAGCTTGGGAGACGAGTTGGCCCCAGCAGCAGCAGCAGATGGGCAACTTCTTTCCTGGAAACAGCAATTTCTGGCTCCTTGCCCTGTCTCCTAGACCACCTCCCTTCACCCTCTTGTTCCCTGTGTCCTACCTCAGGGGTCCCTGGCAAGGTCCAAGGGTGCTGTAGTAGGATAAGGGGAGGGAGACTAAGATCATACATCCTCTGTCTCAGAGGCCTTGAGGCTTGGCTTGGAGCTAAGGGAAGGGCTGAAGGGAGGTGTGTAGGGAGGCAGAATCAGGAGGTGGTTGAGAGTAAGAAAGCCTGGGTTTGAACCCAGAGTTTTCCTTGCCTAACTAAGCAAGGAGATTAAACGTTCTGAACTGAAGTTGGGTTTTATTTATTTAATTTTTACAAGATTATTGTAAGGATTATATTAGATAAGTGTACAAAGGACCTGGCTCCAAAACCAGTGCTTGGCCTGGTGTCTGTAACTCAGTAAAGTTTGAGCTGTTATCAAGGTATAGGAGCATCTGCTATGGGGGCCAAGGTCAAGGCCTCAGATAGGTGCCAGTGTCTTAGGATGCCAACGTCTGGGTCCCAGAAAAGGGAGAAGGCTGGGTAAGACCCTCACCTAGAAAGAACAGTGCAGGGGTGGAACCATAGAGGGGAGGATGGGTGTTAAGGTCCTGGAAGAGGAAGGAAGTGAAGGGTCAAGACTGAAAAAAGGAAAGACAATAGGGGTGGGGTTTAAGGCTCTGCCAAGAAAGGGAATGTCAGAGGCTTGCACATGAGTAGGGTCGGGGAGGGCAGGGTTAGGTCCAAGGAGAGGTGAGGGGGCTTGTCAGAGGTGCAGGGGTGCCTGGCTCATTTCAAGATGGGGAAGGACCAGTGTCCAGAGCACAACGGTGTGAGTTTTGATGAAAGCCTTGCAGAGAGGAGGCAGGGTCAAGATCTTGGAGAAGACCCCTAGAAATGGTAGTTGGCTTTATAAAATATGTAGAGAAGACAAAGGAGTGGGATTAGTCCTTAAAGAAGGAAGGGGATGGACATTGATGCAAAGATGAGGGTTTAATCAGATGGGTAGAGGAGAGAGGGTCTGGGGTACAGAGAAGAGAGGAGGGCCAGAGTTGGGCTGCAGGGAGGACCCTAAGCCTTGGGGTGCACCCGGGGCCAGCACTCTCCCTCTGTGCACTCCCTTTCCTCCACAGGGGTGGGGGCGGGGTCAGGGCTTGGAAGACCTTGACTTTAATCTGAGGCACAGAGAAGAGAGGTGGGCCAGAGTCCACTGCAGACCTTGGGGTGGGCTAGGGGTCAGCGCTGGCCCTCTGCCCCGCCCCCCTCTTCGTTTCTCCGCAGTGTT